TTTGATTTTTGGCACAAGAAATGTCAAATAGGAGCTGGTTTTCCCCTCTAACTCTGTTCAAAAAATATATTTATTTACATATATCTATCTACAGTATACTACTATCAATCCCTATTTTGTTTTTCGTCAACAAGAGTATGGTAATTTTGATATTGAACAAGAAGCAATTAAGTTAAAATTCACAGGCAGAGCACAATTTTATCTTTTGAGTACCTTGCTCCTATTCACAGATTTTGAAACATTCTATACACTTAATTGCTGTTCACTAATTTCTTTATGCTTGTGTTTTTTTCAGGACAATGACAGCAAGCACAAAAGTGCGTCAACTCGGTCATGGATGGAAAACCATGGTGTCTTGGATCATGTCTTAGAAACACCAGCATCCTCTCCTGACATTAATTGTATCGAGAATGTTTGGGCAAGTTTGAAATATCATCTACAAACAGTAGTAAAGCCAAAGAAGAAGGATGAACTGGTTTGTGGAATTCGTGACTTTTGGACCTCACTGTCAACAGAACAGTGCCGAAGGTATATTGACCATATTCACAAAGTGATTCCAGCAGTGATATTGAGTGATGGTGGACCAACTGGATTCTGAAGAGTGATTAAAGATGTACATATATACTGTGTGTAGTCCGATCAGTGATTTCGCCTAACCAAAGTGCCTGTTTATGGATATAACTAACAATTGAAGACAAAACATCTTTATTTTATATATTTTATATAATCATAACAAACAAATGGAGCAAAATATTAGCTCGTAATATTTATCATTTTTACTGAAATTCCACTTTTTGTTGTCGTTTCTTTTTTAAGGCAAAACTTTCTTTGAAATAGGCAACTATATAACTTTCTACTTGCTGGTGCCTTTTTGATATTATATTTAGGTTTATAGAAATGATGAATAAAGAAATAACCATTTCCCTTACTTTTATCGAATATAATTTACAAAATACATAAAAGAAAAATGAATAATTTTGGTTTGGTCTTTCCTTGACTGGACCATGCAAATACGATGTCATGAACTTCGATTTCATTCAAATACAACCTAGCTAGTCAATGGTTGTGAGACTTTCTTTTGTCTTTCAGGATGATTTGGATGATAAGATTCATGTAATTATGTTTCCTTAAGGATCCCCGTCCCTCTGACTAAAATGTAATGAGGCATTGGTTTTATTTCTACAGCATCGCTATTGCATAACCGAATCATTTCTGAACAATAACCCATACCTTGCGGTAGTTTTTTCAGATTTTTTGAGATATTATGAAATTTCAATTTTTTTTATCAATTTTTTTTTCATTGGAACAAAATATAACAAAATACATTTCATTTGATGCAACAATGGGTTTATTAGAAATATGACGCATAAAAAATAATAACAATGTCAATATTGATGAACAAAACACACAAAAACTGAGCAAGTTTCTAACAATACTAAAAGTTAAAACTAACAAAAATTCCTTATTATACAAAAAATTATAAAGACATAAAAAAAGAGACAACATTTGTATCAATAATGATTCTAAATCGTAAAAAGTCGTATATAATTTACATCATACAATTTAGCACTTTTTTATACGAATATACTACATTGTGATGCGTGAATAATTCCCATCTTTCCTGTTGGGTATTGCACAACTGTAGCCTAGTACCACATTCCTTACAACCTTTCTGGTCCAGGTATTCAGATAACATCGTAAGTTCAACCACTCGTATACCCTGTGACCAGGTTATTGGCGTATGCGTGCCCACTAAAGTACTGGAGGAATCCTTATTGGACATCATTGTTATTATTGTCAGTTAATGCGTTTAGTTTACATTTAAAACGACCAATTTTACGTCAGCCATCACTGCCACGACATTGTTTGCATCGTTGCGACAGTTTTTTTTGCCCACACTTTCGCGATTGGAGATTTTCAATGCAAGGGACACAACTCTGTTGTCAAAAGATTATTCAAACGAAATCTGTTCAAGGGAAGATAACAACATTGTTGAATGGTAATTAGGGGCAGGTGACTCTAACACTTAAAAAACGACAGTTGAAATCTTTCGTGTTTTGCTCTAGCTGGGACAGGGATCCTTAATTGCAACTGTTATATGACCATTATTTCAGAGTTACTTCCTGTGGTATTCAACTTATTGACATCTCAGATATTAGATTTTCTTCTGCATATTTTTTGAACACTTTTAATGATACAAAAAGAGACACTGCTATACTTGAACATTTAACGATAAGTAATTGATATAATATACACGTATACCAGATAATGAAGAAAATTAGCTCATACGGTGACATTGTATAGCCGTTTCATTTGCAAAACTACTCTAGAATGAGAGCATTCTGCCATATTTTGCTGAAGTCTTAAGGTGAAAAAATACTGGGCCTTGTGTCATTGCAGGAGAAGTTTTGAATATGTAAATATGTTTACATTTCTACAAAACCATGGCTTATTGCATAGTATATATTTGCTGTCTGAGGTATTTTTCCATAAATTTTTCATTGAAAGTATGTATAAGTCAGCAAATTACAGCTACCACTAGGGTTAAAAACACAATAGGTAAGTTCAACAAAATTGAACATCAAAACCAAGTTGATATATATACATGCATTCATATCCGCACTAACATTGAACAATGTTGATCAATCCTCATAATAATTTACATTTTTAATGTTGATAGTTATAATAATTATTATTGATCTAGATATATATGTATTCTGTTAACTGATCATATTTTTTCATATTTTCATATTAAATTGTCTGTATCATAATAATGTTAGTGCATACAAGATTCCTGGAACAGCCTATTGTCACCAAAATGTTTGCTTCCAGTGGTTGTGTCACATTATTTGAGGAAGGAAAGCTTTAAAATGATCCTGATCAAACTGCATTTATATCCCTATGATTGCAATTTCTTCTGGTAATGCTTATAGAGGGACTTGCTGTGGAATTATTAATAAAATACTTGAATAGCCCTTAGTCCAAATAAAAGAGTATTTCCTGTTATATCTGAAAAGTATAAGGTACATGTAGGCAGCCTTATAGGAATACTTACTAAATTTTCTTTTACTTTTATTTTATAAAGTTTATGTAGGAAAGTGATCTCGACCTCAACACTGCTTCTTGGTTTTGGGTATATAGGGTAACTGTACTACAATCCATTTTTATTTTTACTTGGCCTGATAAGGAATGTGATGTTTTTGTTTTGCAATGTGACGATCTGCTCGTGGAGAAAACTCATCCTGGCATATATTATGATTGATGCTAAAATATGCCACTGCTGATTGATCATTGATAATAAACTTTTGATTCAAACCTGTCTTTGTCTATTTATCAGTCCATAACCAGTAATAAAGGAGGAGAGTTGGTGGTTTTACACGTGATATATAATTGGTGAATATATTTTTTTAATATAAAGGAAGTGAACTTGACATGTATATATGTTTACATCTTACAGTTACATGTACAAATGTACTTTTCTTAAATATCATTTCTAGACCAGATTTGGTATCAAAAGAAAGTCTTCAAATAAATCATTCCAAGGGTGTTTGCGGGGTTCACTTAAATGCAACCATTCCTCAATTGAAAATCAGATATATATCTTGATGTTTGCCATATATATATATATAGCTTGTTAAGTCCATCATTAGGGTAATTATACATATGCAAGAGTTGGATAAAAATTTGGGATATGACCGTGTTGACAAATTCAAAAGTATTCGGTCCGTCAATATCCTACTGTCATGAGAACACCCCTTTGACAGATACTTAGAATTTTTTTTAATGTGATCTTACATATAAAAAATTTGGAAATGTTGGGCACAGAAATACCAAAAACCATTGGTGTAAACTTTCTGAGGCTGTATAGTGGTCACCTTGAATTCTAAAATTAAGCGATTTTGATATAAATTACAGCTTCAAGTTTAAACATTATTGTTGCAGTCAATCAGAAGCCACAGTGGCCATCTTGGTCTAGGAAATTCTAAAGTTTACATTTTAATTTACTTCTCACCTATGAATCACTCTAACAAATTAACAACAAAGTCAACCTCATAGAATAAGTTGACTTTATTGTCTCGGCTGATAAGAGACTATTTTCAAACAAAATAAAAAATGTCCGACATGAATACCCCCATCCTACTTTATCACAGGGCAGCACTATATGCCCCCCCCCCCCGCCCCTTCCATTTTATGTCATAAAAAGTGAAGGTTGAACTTTTGATATAAAGTTCATACTATATGTACCTTTGAAAGTTTCTTTGTAATTGTGAATTGGGTCGATACATTTTAAAGACCTTCAAAGTCAACTTGAATGGCATGATTTCATTACATAACTGATATTTTTTAATAATTGAAACTGAAATATAGATATCTGGTAATCAGTATAAGAAAATAATGTTCCTGCAGAAGCCAACAACTATGACCTAATCATCTTTTGCAAAAATCCACATAATTTCAAATGGTTATCTTCAAACAAGATTGTGAGTAAATCAAGATGTATCAAACAATCAACCACAAGCCAAAGTTCTTAAAATATTATTTTAATTTTGAACGAATTTCATCAACACACTACACTTTATAATAAATAACAAAAAACAAATCAATACATGTTCTCAACATAACACACAGTTAACCTTATCTTGCAATTAACAATCAATTTACCTACAACAATTTACAATTACAAATTGCTAAACTTCTGTATATTTGGAATATTTGCTGCATTTCAATTTTTGCCTTTTCCCCCTCAATAATTAGGATGAATGTTTAATAACAGTGAGTAACAGTCATCAATATAAATAGTCATTCAATGTGAAAGTGGCGAAATTAAAACTGGGCAAATATTGATATTTTCAGAAAAATAGTTTCAAGCTAACAAGTACTTTAAATTTAACCTTAACACAATGTGTATCAATAATGTCTTGCTTTGGCACAGCAAGTATGGGTTTCTCATACAAAGTCATTAAGAACTGCATTGATATGATCATTCTGCAAAAAATAGTTTATCGGTTGAGTTTCCGTAATCCGGAGTTAATGGCATCCACAGCTTTTCGCACCTCTCCACTTCCACAGGTGCGCTGTATGGCTGAGATGATTGCCCGTCTACGCCTAGGAGAAAGTCCAAGTTTCCCTCTGTTGCCATAAAAATTTCGACCTACAAACTCCTGCGGTGTGAAGAGTTTCTTCGTCAAAGTCCATGCAAAAAGTTTATTAGAACTGTTGTCTTTCAGGTTGAATAAGGTCTCTGCATTGAGATCTTCCACTAATAGTTCTGGTGTCTGTGTATCTAGGTCAAAAATCACAGGCTGGTCTGATGGTCTAATTTCAAAGTTGTAAATGGACTGCCCTGAACAAGGCACTACTACATCAGAATCCAAGAATGAAAACAGGTCCTGATGAGAATAAGACGGGGTGGGACTGGCAGGCCTTGACACACTGGAACTTGTGGAGCAGGAGGAGGTAAAGTCATAAATGGAAATCAATGACTCGTTGGGCAATGTTGAGGTGTTGTTGGAAGTTGAAGAAGAGGCAGAAGTAGGTGTGTTTGTTGAAGAGGCTGGAGCATCAGTGGACAAGGAATCAGTAAATGTGTCTGTGTATGTGTCGAATGCAGAGATGAAGGTTGTGTTGTGGGAGGATTGATCGAGGTTGGATCCAATTCAAGTCTCCTTCTCAACACTGGCCTTGACAATTGTTGAATCTGAGGTGTACCTTCGGTATCTTTCTCAGTCATACACAGCCTTCTTTTCTGGAGATTGATGAGATGTTCCAGCTTATTCAGAATTAAATTATTAGTTTCGCCACTGTTGTCCATGTCTGTCTGTGTTCCCATTGATGTGGTTGATTGCCTGCATTGAGAACTCTTTGAAAGCCTGGGCGTTGCACTCTGAATAAGTTCTCTTCGAAAATCCTCTGCAGTGTCAAACAGTATCACATGATCTGTCTGTGTTGCAACAATGGCGCAGTTGTGTTGGTGTTGCTGAACATGAAGTTCCACTATGTCTATCTGATCCAGTGACAGACCCTCTGTGAAGTTTGGCTGTCGTGATGGTGAGGCATGTAGAGGATCTCTTTCCTCTGCTCCCTCAAAATGAACCGTTGCTTTCCGCCCATTTGTACCCTGTGAAAACAAAATGTTAATTTAGAAAAATGCCTCACTCACAACACTTTACCACCTGATAAATGGTTTGTGTTATATTGTTTTATTGCCATTGGGAATTCAATGTTACCATATACTAAACTTGTTGATGAGCTTTTTACATTTATGGTTCACAAGCTTTTTTGCCCTAAAAAAGCAGTAAATTGTCACCATTGACCTTGACCATCTAAATCTAACCAGNTATCTTTCTCAGTCATACACAGCCTTCTTTTCTGGAGATTGATGAGGTGTTCCAGCTTATTCAGAATTAATTTATTAGTTTCGCCACTGTTGTCCATGTCTGTCTGTGTTCCGATTGATGTGGTTGATTGCTTGCATTGAGAACTCTTTGAAAGCCTGGGCGTTGCACTCTGAATAAGTTCTCTTCGAAAATCCTCTGCAGTGTCAAACAGTATCACATGATCTGTTTGTGTTGCAACAATGGCGCAGTTGTGTTGGTGTTGCTGAACATGAAGTTCCACTATGTCTATCTGATCCAGTGACAGACCCTCTGTAAAGTTTGGCTGTCGTGATGGTGAGGCATGTTGAGGATCTCTTTCCTCTGCTCCCTCAAAATGAACCGTTGCTTTCCGCCCATTTGTACCCTGAGAAAAAAAATATGTTAATTTAGAAAAATGCCTCACTCACAACACTTTACCACCTGATAAATGGTTTTGTGTTATATTATTTTATTGCCATTGGGAATTCAATGTTACCATATACTAAACCTGTTGATGAGCTTTTTACATTTATGGTTCACAAGCTTTTTTGCCCTAAAAAAGCAGTAATATGTCACCATTGACCTTGACCATCTAATTATAACCATGTGTATAACTGTGATGAACACCTAATTTTATGATATGTCTAATACATCAGCTTTTGCTACTGTACAAAAGATGTAAAGCTCTGACCTTAACCTAAACCAGTAACCGCTAATATCTAATCAAGTGCAGGGCAATGTTACATACCATGGTATAAGTAAAAAAAATATCTGTAGAGGGGTTCATGTTACAAACTACAAAGTATTTTTTCTTTATGAATAACTAAAACTTAATCCAAATGAAGGGATTTGATCAAAAGTTCAATAAGCTCAGTTTTTCTTGCTTGTTTATTATGCAGCAAAGAATTTTGACCTTTGACTTTTTAAGTTTTTAACCTTGACCAATGCTGATAAACAACAAGTGTACGGAGCAGAACAATATGCACCTGTCGAATGCCATATAGTGTTATATACTTTCTTACATTGAAATAAGATCTGCATTATTCAAAGAGTGGTTAGCTGGCACGCTATAAAAATGTAGGAGAAAATCTCTGGATAAAAAAATCAATTACTGAAATGAACTAAGGACNTATGTCAAAACATTCCTGATGCTTTAGTACAATCCCTAAGCAGAACTTATTGTTTTTCAAAATGATCTGCAGCTTGTATTCCTGACTGAACCAAACAAGAAATTCAGAAAATAAGTGATAAATACAAAGAGTTACCTCAATGTGAACTTGACCTTGAGTGTTATGTCATAAAATTGGTATGTGACACTCCATCTTTCTATTCTATATTATTTTCTACAATTTCATTGAGCTATCCTAAGTGAGTCAAAGTTATGGCACAGAGAATGCATATGACCAATTTGACCATAACCTTTGATGTATGGACCCAATTGTAGATTGCTGAACAATACCTTTAAAATCCTACATATAGCCCTTAAATTTCATTGAGGTAATATCTCATCTGATAAGTAAGTAAGACATAGACAATCAATTTGACCTCAATATGACATTGACCTTGGACATACGGGCATTGGTAACAAAAATTAATTCTTTTGCAAAAACATATGCCTTACCCCTTTTAAAAGCTGAAATCATATATTCAGTTATTGTTACATAGTTCCATATCTTACCTCTATGTGAGTTTGTTTTGGAAGAGTTGTTTTATCAGCAATTATTCTGGAAGAAGCCTTAAAAAAAAGAATGTTATAATTTACTATAATAATTTTAAAATGTGGATACATTCCTAATGCAATATTTACAAATAAATCTGAAAGTAAATTTATTCACTATTATATTGCTTACAGCTCAGCCTTATAACAACTGGCAAGAGTAAATGGCCTTAGTAAATTTCTACAATTCATGATTGAACACAGCATAATAAAGTTAACAAAGATACTCTTATTTGTCATTTTGAGTAAATATACATATATATATCTGATGGTGGCATTCCTTCTACAGGAGAGGAGAAGACTTTGGTATAATTTGGTTATTTGTTCCGTTTTTTGGCCTTGCCCCAATGTTGCATTTCAATTTGGATTGAATTTTCCTATACAAACAATGCAGCTGTTCAAGGAGGGAAACACAATTCTGTTCAATGCAGAAGTCTTATTTGTTGATAATAAAAACTATATTTATAAGAATAATTCTGAGCAAATTTAAAACGCACCTGCTTTTTCTTCGGTCTTTTGTTGGTCGTTATTGATTGTCTAGTACAGATGTCTAGCGCCTCTGTTGAATTCTCCTCAGTGTCCTGTAAAGTATAAATATATAACTTAAAGAATCAGTCATAAAAGTTTTTTCAAATGAAGCATCATAATGGGCATTGGTCACCTATTTCTGCGGTGAGATTCTCTATCCCTCTCACTAGGTATGTATATCTGTTTAAGCTATTGGAGGGTTCTAGTGTAATATGTGCAAAAACATAATATATAGAACTGTAATCAGAAGGAATACTTATTCCCATGCTCATCCATTGAAGTTCTCATTATAGCAACCAGTTAGAGGCCATATCTGCCACTTTGACACCACAAATTTCATTCATTTATTAAACAAAAGGTCCCAGAGCCATTTTGTTTGCCTGAGCCATGTTAAAACAAAACATGCTCAATGAAAGACTAAGGGGAACCAGCATATCAAAGAAGGATCCCTCAAGTACTTACTGAGAAATAGAGCATTTAGTGTCAAAATCTAAATTGGCTGTCTGTTAGCAATTTTGTTCATGCGCAACTTAAGGGAACAAGTGGAACCTACATATCAAATTTGAGAAAGATCACCCTCCAGTACTTTCTGAGAAATAGCAATAACAAGAATTGTTTAGAGATGGACCACGGACAACAGGCAATTTGAATTTTAAAAAGTGAGCCTCCTATAATGTATCATTCTCATAAAGTATCAAAAAGCAAACTCTGCTCTAAAATTCAAATTTTAATTGTTGTCTCAGCCAATTAGAGGACAAAAGTGGCAATTTTGAATTTTTGCAGTCTGACAAGGGACACCATATATCCAAATTCAGTGTTATTTCCTCTAACTAAACTAATGTTACTGAGAGTCCAAAGGGAGAATGGACCACTTCTGGGTTCTGAAATCTACATATTAGATGAAGGCCCCCTATGATCTTGAGATCCATTGAGAGAATTTGATTATAGCGTGAATCTGGAGAAAAAGATATTTGAAAATACTGTTTAGTTTAGTTTTCCTTTCGTAAATTTCTTCCCCCATCCCAAAGGGGAATTCAGTATCTTTGGGGTCATAACTCTTTCTAAGTTTTTGACTGGTTAGTTAAGTTTAAAAAGTGCGTCCTTTAAATCGATGAAAACAAAGTTTAATAATATTGACTACCTTTATCAATTTGAGACATCTTTTCTCATTTTAGTGAACTCTTTATAAATACATGTTTTCCTCCCTCCCACTGGCTTAAATGTGAGGGTTAAATAAGGACATGACTTGTGACATATTATGGAGCTGTTGATTTAAGCATTACATACCTGTGGATCTGCCGGCCAAATGTCAAGGAAGCCACCATACTTGTTGCCTTTCCTGCTATTCCTTCGCTGTTTCTCTTGGGTCAGCTCTAAAGATCTGTGAGAGTCTGTCCATTCATCTTCAAATGCATCAAGACTTTCAAATGAATCTACAAAAAATGGCAACAATTAAGTCATATATCTAAAGCATTCTGTGTGCTTAATCATAAAGAAAAAATAAAACACATGATGTCAACAATTTGGTATGTGAATTTCATTCCAACAAAAAGTTTTACTTCTTCTTGTATGTAACAGCCAAATAACAATAATGTCATATCTGACCAGACAACAATAATGAGTGGACATTTGATTCTACAACGCAATGTTTTCCTGCCAGGTACATAATCAGAATTTTCTTAAACTTGTCTAAAATCTTCATTAACTGTATGTTCTGTATGTTGGTTACAGTCAAATGGTCATAATGAACATTAAAAAGTTTGTTCATGTGTAGGTTTTCAAAATTGTTTCAAAAAGTACTTCCATTTCAACATTTCTTTTTTCAACTTGAGACTAATTTCCATATTAGCTAAATATAGGGTAAACCAAACACAACAATTTCTTGATTATATACATATATTCGCGGTACAATGATGTGCATTTATACGGTAACAAAGAAAGTAACAGGGGTAAAATGTAAGATTGGCAATCAACGTGTTCAGGTTCCAAGGTATATCACAGTGATTATTGGATTTCTAATTCAATCAAAAACAATGAAATTGTAAAAGAATATAATTTTGTAAATACCAAGATGTCCTTTATATAAAACACTTTTGTAGAAAACATTTCAATGATTCATCAAACGAAGAATGATGTTGCTCTTTATCCTAATAAGATATTCTATAATGATCTTGGCCACTACCATCAAATCAACAAAAGATGATCATTTACCCCTTTGCACATATTCCTTAAAGATACTACCACCCAGTATCATGTAATTTGTTGGAATCTTTACAAACATTAACTGTCAAAGTCCTAAATTCCAACCAGTCAGCCATTTTGTTTGTCCAATGTTACAAAAGTTAACATTCACAACTTAAAGGACCAAGGGTAATTTTCCATACGAATTTTGAAATAGATTTCACCAGCACTAACCGATAAAAAATGATAACCATTTGATGATGGTGCGTTAAATCTGGTTTATAACCAGAGCCCCAGAAGGCCTGAATCGCTCACCTGCATATGTTTGAAGAACTGAGCTTCATATGAGGTTAAGATATAGGTAGGTACTGTATTTCAGAAAGATCAATCCATTATTTCTGGAGATATAGCGAGAACAAACTTCAAATGTCAAAATCCAAAATGGTGGCCTAGTCGCCATCTTGTTTTAGTTAATACACTCTAATAATAACAGGCACTACTTGATGGAGACTAAATTAGGATAAATCCCTTTGGTAGAAGAAGGATTTTTAAGATTTTAATCTATTTAACANGGGGGGTTGGGGGGCACACCCACCATTTATACAAAATTGAGAACCATTGGCCCAAGGATGCTCCAGACTAAATAGGGATAACATCATTTGTATCCCTTCCCTAAGAAGGATTAAGGGTTTAAAGATTTTGGGACCCTCTCCTGTCCCTGGTGGGGCCACACATACTGTTCATACAAAATAGAGTGCCCCTGGCCTAAGGATGCCCCGGACCTAATTGGGATTTAATCCCTATGGTAGAAGAAGGATATTAAAGGTTTACCTCTGTTTTCCCTCTATGGGTCCCACTCCTCTGCCCCTAGGGGGGCCACACCCTCTGTTTATAAAACAGTGAGTTCCCTTGGCCCCAGGATACTTCAGACTTAATAAGGATAATATCCCTTGATCCCTACTCTATGCTGGAAGAAGGATTTTAACAGTTTTACGTCTTTTTCCCTTATTGGGCCCCTATCCTCTGCCCCTAGGGGGACCACACCCACTGTTTACAAAAAATAGAGTCCCCTTTGACAAAGTATGCTCCAGACATAATAAGGATAAAATCCCTATGGTAAAAGAAGGATTTTAAAGGTTTTACCCCTATTTCCCCTTTGGGCCTAACCACTATGCCACCAAGGAGGGACCACACCCACAGTTTATACAAAATGAGTGTTTAAAGGGAAGTTGATGAACGAATGGACAGATGGATGACGGACGCTGTGCTATGGAAAAAGCTCACTTGTCTAAGCTCATTTGCCCGTCTGGCAAGTGAGCTAAAAATGTTGGTTATGAATTTGAAGGATCCATCTTTAAACCTTACTTGCTAAATATTGTAAGAATTTACTAGATCAACCTATTTAATATTGTTAAAACATGTTCACTTAATATCTGAGACAAGTCCACTGGTTAAGTGTATATAGCAAGTGACAGCTTCATTCCATACCAGCTCACAGAAATAAGCAAGAGATCCTTGAGGGATCTTGGTACCACTTAAATACCATTTTCTTTGGGTCCATGTTAGATTGATCTCATCTGATGGTAACTTTTGATCAAAACTTCATATCGCTATGTATGTTTTTTATTGAAATAACGTTTCTTTTACCAATACTTTGTTTAAAAAGGGGAACCTAAATTTGACATATGAGAAAGATGTTATCCTTCTATACAATCTTTCAACCATTATTTTTTTTTATCTCATCTCATCATTTCTTTTTTAGTTTCAATTGGCAAATTATTGTCTAAATAACAAAGCAAAATTTATCAGCTGTCCCTCAGGTGAAATTCAGTGTAATTCATGGGGAACATATATGTATATGTAAATTTTGAGAAATCCCCCCGCCCCCCCCTACAAGTTCCTCCTGAGTTATATAATAATTTTGTAAGGATGGACAGAATGACAGACCACAGACAAAGAGCAATTTGAACAGTGCAGCAGCTGATATTAGTTGGCTGAAATATAGTTATTTACCTGATATTTGCAAGATTTCAACATCATGTTGCTTTCCCTTGTACATCATGGTGGTTCTGGAAGCAATGTCTAGCACTTCTGAACTAGCTCCTGCCAGGTGTCTTGGTGTTGTTATCAATGTGCAACCGTCATAGTCAAAAAGTACTAGCACATATGAGGTCATCTGTTCCATATTGCCTGTAAGAAATCAATGATAAATTAATTTCAATGAAAAATTATTCTTGTTATTCGTGTAATATCTAAATCCTGGCTACCCAAATGTTAACTGTGACTCTGAGTTAATCAGGACTGCATTGACCAAGTCACCATCAAAGTATAAACAGGTGTAGAACTATATGTTAACAATTTAATTTATTGTGTACAATATAGTCTATTCCATTTCATTTGAGATGTAACAAGGCATTGGATTGGTCAATAAAAATAATTTGCATGATATACCGTACGCAAATTTATCATTGGTATATGAAGCCCTGATGACAATTGTTAATGATGTCAATGACCCCAACTGACCCAGACACATCATGAAATTGATTATTCTTGATGTCATGAACAATAACAGTACACTGAAAGATCTACATAATTCAGTCTCACTTTAAATATTTCTGACATTACCAATTCACAGCAGAGATACCCAGAGTTTGAAGAAAATACTCAAAAATATCTTAAAATCATTGTTTCTTTCGGTGGTTTTGGTTGATATGAATTAGAATGGGGATAACCCTACTGGTATTTGAAATTTGACACAGTATATTGTGATTACAAATATACTTTTTACTGGCTCCGTTCTGGCTGTGTTGCCAGTAAAACTCAATTTGCAACAGTATTATCATGAAATACTGCCGCAAATTTAAAAATATAGCACTCCATGGCAGGGGCTGTAAGTACATAAGAAATTTTAGAAAGATCCATCCAGTACTTGAAATATAGCGAGAACAAACTTCAAAAAAAAGCATCACCCAAGGGCTATGGAGGTCCTGCCTACCATTTATACAAAATTGAGTCCCCTCAGCCCAAGGATACTCCAGACTAAATAAGGATAAAATCCCTGGGTTTAACCTTTTTTAGCTGGACACCAGACTTAGATATTTTGACATATAGATGTCTGGTATAAATTGTCCAGAGGAAACTGGAGCTAACAGTTGAGATATCAGAATAAAGGAGCAGACTTTACTTAACAATTACATTGAAATTAAGATAAAATCAAACAAATCCGAAACTATATTCACAATTATTTTGAAATCAACATTCTGCAATGACAACAATTGAATGAAAACAAAAACTGCAATATCTTATACTAATAAACCGGTGTAGTATGTAATATGAAGGCCATTGTGAAATGAACCGCGGTTCCTAATTATCTATACCCCAGACCTAATTTCATTTTCATATTCAGGACATCAAACTGATGTAAACTAAACCAGAATTGGTTTAAAAAAGTCAAATAGTAAAAAAAAATATGCTAAAACCCTTCATTTCACCATTATGGTTAAGTGAAGCGCCCTGCCCCACCCTAAATATCCCTACCCCAGAAATATTTTTTGTGGTTTTCAGATAGAATACATGAAGTTGAAGTAAATAAACTTAAAGGAAATCTGATCCTCAATAATTAAATAATGGGATATTGGAATTACATGCAGGCAGTATCTTGAACAGTGATGATATAATTTAGAATGGTAAAATTCATAATTGTTTTGATTTCTTTGTATTTTAAATGATTTTTTTTGTTTACAAAAATAATTGAATATTTTATTTATTGAAGTAAATGTTATTTTACAATAACGATATCTGTTAATCAGGTGAGGGAAAACCGCAACCTTCGTATAATACGCAAACTCGCCTATTATACGGCAATTGGAATATGGATTTGTTACTGAAATAACCCAAATCGCTTTAACAGTAACTTTTGCAAGATGTTATTAAAAATCACATTAATTTATGTCAAGGTAAATAATATTTTGCTAAAAAATGTTTACTGAAAGCGTTTGCTACTTAGAAACTTGATGTAACTTTACCGGAAGTATTGCATCCATTTTTGGTACTTTCCGACATGTAAATAAAGTTTATTTTTGCATTTGTATTATGTTTCATGACTTAATAAATGCGACATGGACAAACAATTTGAAAAATGTATGATTCAAGCGATTTTGGCTATTTTTAGAAACAAATCCATACCCCTATTGGCGTATAATAGGCGAATTTGCGTATTATACGCAAATTAGCGGTTTTCCCCAACCTGTTAATAAATAACACCGTACATCATTTTGAAACAGACTTAATTATCAAGTTGTTATTTATATAAAATGTGAAAACAGGTATGTATGTTAGGGGAGACTAGGTATTTTAGAAATACATATACAAAATGTATGCAAGGCAACACTTCAGACTGAACAAAAAATAACCTCTTAAGCATAACTTATCTACATGATGTTTAACTAACTGCTAATGGGGTGTTCTCAGTTCCCCCACTTTTTAGAAAACAAAGAAATAATTAATAAACACTAAATTGTCTGTTTAGGTTGTTAATTTACCTTTTAAAACACATTACACCACCGCAAACGAAAGTGCTTACGAAAGAAACGACATCAGGTCAAGGCACCACATACACAGAGTTTGAAAAAAACATGTACAACGCATTGCTTCGTTTCATATTACACACGAAGTCAAAAATGCATACAACGAATCCCTGTGTTTAGACCTAGCTGCTGACGACGAGACCATTTCCATTGCGTCATTTATAACTTAAAATTCGCGATGATATGTATATGTCTGCGGCCGGACAAGTTTGACAGCAAGATCACAGGCCAGGGGTTCGCTACAATTTCCTAAAAGACATAACCTACATATCACGTTACGCTTGACTGCTATAACACTTATTGCACAATGTACGGAAAATTCCCCCACCACCCTTTGCGATGTATATGTGAATGCAACGTTTGTTTTCATAACTTACACTACGGTTATGCTACGCTATAATATCCCGTTAACATTTTGGACCGATTCGGTGTCTCTTTCGCTACACTACCGAACCTGCATGCTGGTTCCTCGGGAATATCCGGCACGTGGTGTCATACGCCAAAACACATCTGGGTCAAGTAGGCTCTTGAACACATGTGCAGTAACAGATACACGATGCATGAAAAGGTTTGAGAAGGAACGACTAGATTTTATATAATGAACAGGCAGGCATTTTCGTTTGTCTAATTTGGGTGGTATTTGGTTATATCGGCCCAAGGTAATATCGGCCAGGCCTATTTTACCCAAGTTAAGTTCGGCACTACTATGTGTCTATATGTTAAATACATGGGATTTATACATTTATAAGTAGAAATTATATTTAAATAAATACATTAAAGGATTTATTTGATTACGTACTGCATGGTGTTGTTTTTATTTATAAATTTAATTGGTTGAATTAATTTTTACATGCTTGTATGTCTTACCGATGAATCAGATTAGTTATCTAGGTCCGTGGTCTTACATAATATTTCTTAATGAATTTAAACCTTATAGCAATATAACAAGGACAGTCCAAAATGAAATGGAACTTAGCCTCGACTTTCAGGTTACAGTATGTGCACAATCTGTTTCGTCTTTCCACGGACTTAGATAACAATCTAATCTAATTCCGTGGTCTTATCCAATTCCGTGGTCTTTCAGTTCTGTTATATCTGCCACACAATAATTAACCTATGTGCAGACATTCGAGTTTTATATATTTGTTTTAAATAATTTAAGCAGGTTTTGATAGATAATACTGGTGACGAAAATTACACACATATCGATACAATGCTTCTTTTGGAGTTTTTTTCTCTCGAAACTTTCTTGTCTGGATATGTCGCAAAGACGATCTTTTATGATATGAAATTTGTTATTATTTAACATTATTCATTTTTGTGTAGATCTATAAAATACCTGTTTATACAAGTGAATTTGCATGTGTATGTTCTACACAAGATCAAGAACAGGTTCATCTGATTTAAGTTTTGCAAGATCAAATAAAATTTCTGTATGACTTTAAAATTGTTTAACAGACATTGACATAGTTTTGACAAAACACTTTGGAAAAGAAAACTTTATGGAAAGAATACACTTGCCTAATGGACCAACGGTTCTCCCGGTATTTTTGTATTAAGTTGCTTATATGGCTCATCTCATGAGTTTAAAGGGAAATATGTAATCGAGTAAGACCGGGATTCGAATTATGGGCATCCAGTGAGACTATGTTACCGGACCCGTCACCGTCCTACACGTCCAAATTTGGCCGGAAAAATTAAAGAACGCGTTACAAGTGTATCTTCCCTGATTTTTGCTTTGGATGTTACACAGGTTGAGTGTATATCAAATTGTAAGTAGAGTTACGAGTATATCTCAAATTGTAAGTAGAGTTACGAGTGTATCTCAAATTGTAAGTAGAGTTATGAGTGTATCTCAAATTGTAAGTAGAGTTACGAGTGTATCTCAAATTGTAAGCAGAGTTACGAGAGTTAGTAGAATTAAGGTCAAAAATTCTATTCATCATACAAATAATTGGTCAAGGTTATAATTGAGCGAACCAGAGACGGCTTTATATGTCTCTGAGCGAGTTATTTTTCGGATTCTTAAAAAATAAATATTCATATTAGGGCGAAACAACCTAATGCGTACTAGGGCGAAATGATATGAAGGTCATAGGTCAAAGAGAGAGGTTCTAGGTATTAAAGTGGACGTTACACAAACGTGCGGGGCACAGACCGTCACGCTATGGTGCTCAAATACGACAGGTGTCGAAAGCTGACTTGGATAACCTATTATAATTCCATGCATTTAATGACTAGTTTGCGGTTGACGACATCGACTGAGTTAAAAATATATATTTGAAGTTTGCTCTTTTTACCAAATATCTGAATGATAGTTATTCCTTCATTTTAGTGCAGAGACATATACAGCCAGTAGTATATACGTATCTGGTTAATGTAAATATTTTTTTCTTAACACTTAAATTGATAAGATGAATACGGTCTAAATACGTTCATGAACAAAAGATGTATGTGGTTCAACTATATAATCTTGGGCAGCATCTGAAAAGTTACACCAGCGATTTATGATATTAAAGATATTAAACAAAGTGACCCAACAAAGGTTCGAGGTAAAGAAGTTGGCTAGGCGCTTTGTGTCTGTTATGGGGAAACATGTAAATGATGTAATCATGAACTAATTTCGTGCTCCACTTACCAGATTCTGATGTGTGTTTTCTTTTCATTCGGGTTAGAGTTGTCATTTTGTTGCTCGTGGGCGTCCCCGTTGTTTCAGGTAGATGTTTCACAGCTCGTCGAGGGGTCAAAAATGCTAATCTCTCCTACGGTAACAGCACGTCACAGTGACCCTTTATTCACATTGCCAATCATATTGCGTACGCGTCACTCTGGTTTACGCCCACTGAGTGTTTCATTGGTCGAACTTTTAGGCGGGGCTTTTCACACATCAGCAAATATCCACGTTGGGTTAATGGTATTAAATGATGCATACCCAAAATCTTTTCAACCAAACAGCTGAGTAAAATTAACTTAAAATGCGTTGTAATTTGTTCATTTAAAAAATACATATTTTATTCCCTACACATTTCTGTCGTTCTGATTTGCTAAGGTTTTTTTTCCATGGGGGATATCCTGCGTGCTCAAAATTAAAATATAAATAAAATGTTTGTATATACCCCATAAAGACAAAAAACAACAAGTTTTAAATGACATGTTTTGAGTTGTTCTTTCAGATGAAATCATGAGATCTTATAATATAGGAATCCATGCTCAATTTAAGGGTCCGAAATCGGGTGTCTCCCTCCTAAAAAGGGAGAGTTGGTAAGTATGGATCCAGCAAGGATTCGTACTCGAAAATGTCACATTTCAAATACTAAAAACTTGTTGGTCAGGCCTCTAATGTTCGTAATACCAGAGTAATACTGGCTTTCTACGTCATTGATAGATCGACACTGGAAGATGGTATATAACGAGCCTTATTTAATGATACATGATTATTTTTTTAAAATATTTTTATTATTTTATTAGATCATTCAGACGCACTCATGTGTCCAGCAAGTGCTCATAATTAATACGATGCAATCATTCAAACATTTGACATGACGACCAATGAATTACAACAAGTTAACAAAATCCAAATACATGTTAATACATAAATAGCTATAATCTATAAAATGATGTTAATTTGTGCTTTAACCGGTTTTCAGATTTAAGTGAAATTGGTAAGAACTGTAGAGCGGAGACAAATATATAGGTCTCGTAAGTATTAACTGGATCTGTGCACAAACAAAAGTTGGTTGAACGCTTATTACTACATAGATGTATGAGCAAAGAGGATGAGACTGGAACAATCTACCTGAAGCATTGAGAAATAGCTCTTCACTAACGTCTTCCTCTCTAGCACTGTCAAATCTATCCACTCCACAAACAAACTCTTTATATGCATATGGACATGGGAAAGGAAAAATCAATCACTCTAGAATAAGAATGGGACTAAGTGCTTTAAACAAACATAGATACTCTTATCATTTAACTAATAACAAATTTTGTGACTTCTGCGCGAACTCCTCCGAAGATGAAATTCATTTCTTTTTACTTTGTCCAAAATATAACCGAATTCGTTCCAATATGCTCCGTGTTGTTTGTCATATATTCGCTCCAAGTGACAATTCCAACCTTATTGTAGAGCTCATGCCAAATGTTCTTGTCAAAATAATTTTATGTGGATTAGAAACTCTAAACGAAATTGAGAACAAAACATTATTTGACCATGTTGTTTAATATATCGTAAATTCAAACTGATTCTCTCTCTCTGTAATGTGTGTATGTCAGTTTTGTCAGTAGCCTAGTTTTGAAATGATATTATACTTGTTTGAATTGGAATTATTGTGATACTATTTTATAAACATTTTTGTTCTAGGAACAGAAAAACCCCCACAATTGAACTGTTCATTCTCTCAGTTATACATGTGTATACAAATATGTTTATTGTACTTCATTTTCCATATCTGCAACGTTATTTCCTCATGTAACACTTATTATGTGTCTGAGTGTCAATACAATTTTGTTTTTAACATGCATGCACCTGTCCATCCTGTCAAAATTTAATATATGAATTCATATACATGTACCTCATGTTACATATTTCCATGTGTCTGAGTGTTGGAAATAAAATCTGAAATCTGACACACACAAAAAATTGTCATTACGTTCAGCCTGATTGATTTAGGTTGCGAGTGGTGATAATTCGGTTGTGTATACCAGGTGTGTGACACCCTCGCCGTCGGCATTACCTGTAATACGACCGTCTACTTCTTTTGTCTTGCCTGACAGGGAAGCCATACAAGTGCACATACACCTATCGTCATTAGTTTACTTACCTGTGTACTTTAAAATAAGTTTCCGGGGTTTGCACGAATTAGTATACGGACAGTAAACAGAGGCTGATTGTTCCATGTGTATTTTACAGAGTTTTCTAACAAAAAAATGACAATAGAAATTTAGACTGAGAAAAGAAATGGAAAAAGGGCTTAGAAAATTTTGGGAAATGCGGAGTTATAAGTCTACATTGCTCCTCTTATCCATGAAAGGATTGAAAGCTATCGATGGTTTAATTGTTTTATTTATATACATAGTTTACTTTAATAATAATAATTTTCTCAGCGATTTTTTTTTATCAAG